TCTTACCTCCAGGGATGCGTGCCATTGATTGCAAATGGGTTTATAAAATCAAGTTCAATCCCGATGGCACTGTCGAACGCTACAAAGCTCGTTTGGTTGCGAAGGGTTCACTCAGATCGAAGGCATTGATTATCACGATACCTTCGCCCCAGTTGCCAAACTTGTTACTGTTCGGTGTCTCCTTGCTGTTGCAGTTGCTAAAGGGTGGCATTTGCATCAACTCGATGTCAATAATGCTTTTCTCCATGGGGAGTTGGACGAGGAGGTCTACATGAAAGTACCTCCCGGTTTTGCTCGTCCGGGTGATAACCGTGTCTGCCGTTTACGTAAGTCGATCTACGGGTTACGCCATGCATCTCGTAATTGGTATCCAAAGTTCACTCATGCTCTGCAGGAGCTTCACTTTGTGCCCAGTCGTGCAGATCACTCTCTTCCTTTATCGACACGAGTCCGTCTTCGTAGCTGCTCTGATTTACGTCGACGATGTTATCTTGGCTGGTAACGACCTCAGTGTTATTCAGCGGGTTAAAGATTTTCTTCATGCTCGCTTCACTATCAAAGATCTCGGGATTCTGAAGTACTTTCTTGGGATTGAAGTTGCTCGTTCTCCACAAGGTCTCGTCCTGAACCAACGCAAATATGTCTTAGACATATTGGCCGATTCCGGTATGCAGGCAACTCGTCCTAGCTCCACCCCCATCGAGCAAAGTCATCACCTGGGTCGTTCTCCTTCTGATCCTGCACCTGATCCGGCCTCCTTTCGTCGATTGGTTGGCCGTCTCCTTTATCTCACTGTCACTCGTCCGGATATCACGTATGCAGTCAACATACTCAGTCAGGCTGTCCATTATCCTACTCAGGCGCATGCGGATGCTGCTTACCGTGTCCTGCGGTATCTCAAAAGCTCTCCCGATCGTGGTTTATTCCTTCCGGCATCGAGTTCGCTCACTTTAAATGCTTACTGCGATGCCGACTGGGGTGGTTTTCATCTCACTCGTCGTTCAACGACTGGTTATTTCATCACTCTTGGGGATGCTCTTGATTCATGGCGGACCAAGAAACAATCCGTTGTTGCCCGGTCTTCTGCAGAGGCTGAATACAGGGCCATGGCTACAACTGTCAGTGAGTTAATTTGGTTGCGTTGGCTCCTTTGGGACTTGGGGGTCTTTCTGCGTGAGCCAACTCCTCTTTACTGCGATAATCAAGCAGCACTTCATATCTCAGCAAATCCAGTATTCCATGAGCGCACTAAGCACGTGGAAATGGATTGTTATTTCGTTCGTGAGCGTGTGTTATCCGGGGACATTTCGCCACTTAAGATTGCTACGTCTTAGCAACCTGCTGATCTCTTCACCAAAGGCCTCAGCGTTGATCAGTTTCAGCATCTTCGTGTCAAGCTCGGAATGCTTTATATCCATTCCTTCGCTTGAGGGGGCGTGTTACGTGACGTTGGACGCATGGACGTGTGCATGTGCCTTATTGTCACGTACCCTTTTCCTTTGGGATCTTTTTGTATTTTCCCCTTCCGAGTAGCTAGTTGAATCGGAACCCTATATGTACTGAATAGGACCGAGAGCTGCTCATCATCTATCAATCTCTCTCGGCTCCATTTTTGTTCTTGTGAAACCCTAATAATCACATCTCAGCCGTGAGCTCTTTCCGAGCTCACTGTGGATTAGTCCTGTTCATACTGAACAGGGATACCACGTAAAACTCCGGTGTCTCGATATTTCGTTATTTGTTTTGTCGTTTTCTTCAGACATTCATTGCAGGAATATGAGGCGAGTCATTAATACTCAAAATAGTAAACCGATCAAGTCAGTGGCGGATTCAGGAATTTTAAATAGGGGTGTCCTCTTGAAAAAATTAATTATAATTTAAAATTAAATCAAATAATTATTAAATATGAAAATATTCAACTAGTAAAAGTTAGAATAAAAGTTCAAACATGTTTCGTATTGTGAAAGAATGGTAAAATACATTTGGTGTATATTACCTCAACAAATCTCTCGTGACATATCCTACTAGACAAGGGTAACCCGTAATTGGGTTTAATCGTTAGGTTTTGAAAAAATTTGGGGATAAGAATAGCCTTTTACTATTGTATTTTGATCTAAAACATAACTGCAAATGAGTTGTAGTCTAATTGAAACTATATTTACTAATAGTAGCAGTGTTTCCAAGTTCAAATCACATAGATACTATCACTTAAATATTATTTGTACCCATATGCAGAACACTATAGGAGATTGGATAATCATTTTCCATATTTTAAGGGTGTCCCACTATCACTAATTTTTTTTTTACACATACACAAACTACTATCGAAAGTTGGATAATCGTTTTTTCAAATTTTAGGGGTGTCCCGGGACACCCCTAAACCTCCATGTATCCGCCCCTGGATCAAGTGTAAGGTCAATTTATGACCCATGCCAAATTAGTTCAATCGTTTTAAAATTTGTCTATGGTACCGATTTTTAAAAATTCAGGTTAAAGTAGTTAATTTGTGTAAAGTCCAAATCAAACTAAGATATTAACCTAGAAAAGGAGATATTTTGTTTTCTCCTACGTGTTATATATTGATTGTTGTATTTACAGTTCGTTGTTTCAAACTAAGCTATTCATGATTGTAAATTATTATGGAATAAAATAGAGATAACAACAACTAAGTCTATACCATATTGATTGAACCATGTATGATTGAGACAAAATATCTCATTTTCTAGGTCAATACATCAAACACTATTATGAAGTTTCGATTATCGACAAATCTATAAAATGCCTCCAGAAGATCAGAACCTTCCTCGATGGTGCAACAACCTTTGTTGCTTGCTTCACTTCATCAGAACCTTCTGCTACAGCTCTCACCAAAATCTCTCTCCCAATTTATCCCCAAGCCCCAACTCCTCATCGAATCCCTTTGAAAGTTGAAACTCACCCTTGCAACTTCGATCTTTGTAAAAAATCCAGATTGATGAAGAAAACATAAATACAATGCGAGAAAGAATATCAAAGTAAATCATCTTGGTCTAACACAAATTGTTGCTAATTTAATTGAAAGGCATCCATTTAATAAGTTAAATTTTTTTACTTTTCCCCGGATAGTTTTTTTTGGAAGAAATATACGTTTTTACTTTAGTGAATCAAAGCCAAACAAAAAAGAAATTCATAGTTTGACAGCCAAAAATAACTAGGAGTAACACTATTTTTGTGAGGTTCGTGGTATTTTTTGATCATTGGTTATGTCATACTTAGTGAAAATTATATATAAACTTGTACCGCAAAATGTTCCTCTTAATTAATTTTTAAAATATGTAAAAATATTGGAAAAATTATGTAAGTGAAGTAACAAAATCTACACATAATCAGATTTACACAAAGTAAAGGCAAGTGTCAAACGTTAACCACAACCCAATGAGAGCAAATGACATTATGGTGGAGCTAAAATCTCCAAACTAGGTCCAAAATTTGTCATTCTAGATCTTAGCATTGGAGGTGGTCTATGAGAGTATGAAAGGGGCAAAACTCAACATGCAAAAATTACATGGGGTGAGAGCTTCTAAAAATGAGACAATTTCATATTTATGAAAAGAGTAAATTAGACTTGCCCATTAAAAATTATTTAGGTTAAAGTCAATTTCATCAGCTCTAGACGATAAAAGTTAGGAACTACATGTCTAAAAAGAAAGAGATATATTTTAATGATAAGAATAACCCGACCAACGGGTCGGGCCCGGTGCTAGTCATGATAATAGTAAAAGGGCAGGGGGCAAATTTGAGAGCAAACATAATAGAAGGGCAATTTATGCTATTAATCATAATTTAAAACTCACCCAAATATTGGGATGACGTCAACTTGATGCTAACATAACATATGACATGTTCATGAGGGACGAATATGTTACACCACAGATTCATCAAGTGATTAAATTGTTGTTTGATGTGCCACTTAAGTGATTAATATTTACTAATAATTTGATTTCTTGCGTTCAATGGATGAAAAACCCTATAATAAAAGAAGTCTCAATATTTCCTTATTGCATTGTTGGTTTAGTTGTATGTTTGCTACCCTATAAAAAGTTTGTCAAACTATATTATCTGTATGAGTAGTAACCTTTTTAAATGAGCCAAGTAGTTTGTTGAATATTAATCAGATTATACACAAAAACTTACGCTTTTATACTACGCTTTTATATTTTTGCTTCTGGGTAGAATGCGCATTTGACTACATTGGGGATGAGGAGCTTAGCCGGATGGGCTGCCAGATTTCTATGGTTTTCTTTTTATTTTTAGCCGGAGCAAACAGTAGCAATATTTCTATATCCCCATGACCAAAAGCCGAATCGGATCGAAGGTAATTTGATTTTCGATTGTAAGCATGTCTGTTTAAGCAAACTTGGTGTACGTTGCCTAGGTTGACTCCAAGGTGAGATAATCACGTTCCTGGATGAATCCAACTTGATTTAATTATCGTTTAATTTCTATTTAATTACTAATGTCTTGGTTAGATCGATGAACCAAACTTGGTGTACGTTGCCTAGGTTGACTCCTAGGTGAGATAATCATCACGTTCCTGGACGTTTCCCTAATAACGACAAATACTATATGGATGAACCAAACTAATTATACTGTTTCTAATTGATTATCTTTCGTGTACTCTCTCTCTCTCTCTTGCATGATCTGACAATATACATAGAAATCAATATATAAGCAGACAGAGTGCGGTAGACGTGCTGTAACAACATATATATACAGTTAAGTGCAACTAAAGTTGTCCGGCTGCTAGCTATAGCCATTGTCTTAATAAAAAACAGTCAAGTTGAATCCAGGGAGATAATAATAAAGACCGATCATTGCATTTCCTTGATGCTTCATCCCAATGTCGACTCGATCTGTTTCCTTAAACTTTTTCCATATAAATGGGGGCATAATTCGTACGCTTGTTCTAATTACAACATCACAGAGAATATATATACATAAGCCACAAAAGCAACTGATCCATCACAAACAAGAGCCAAACTGCTATCAAGATAACTAATGGGAAATCACAGCAGGAGAAGTACTGGTCCTCTGGGTATTTACATCATTCCTCTGCTTCTGGTCGTCCTCTTCTCGTTGCCTGAAGACAAGATGGTAGTGGTCGGAGCAGCTAGAGCTCCTTCTGCCGCCGCCGCCGCCGCCACGGGTCAGTGCTAATAGATTAGCTACATCTTCTCCTTGTTTGGATCGGCTATTATTTTTTATGTCATTATTTTATCTTCATTAATGCGTTCTTGTGGTTTGGTTTGGTGCAGTGGCGACGAGCAGTATCGGTACCGGCGATGAGGCTGCCGGCGGCGGGAGGATAGTTCATGAGGTGCGCAAATTTGGGCGTGGGGTTAGGGGAAGTGTTTCGAGACCCACCGGGCACGGCAATCATCGCCCATCGCCCTGCTGTTATTGAGATACATAGATTTCGGAGAGTGTTTAATTATAAATGAATTGCATGATCTGTGAATTATTAATAATAAATAAAAGTGTTGGATCATATGAGGAGCCTTCTAGCTCCCGCGCAGCCTACTTTCTTGTTGTAAAATGTTGATTCAGGCGAGTAAATCAAGTTGAAGATTACCTATTATGCCCGTTGCCTTTTCAGCTGTATCAAAGGAAACAGCTAGCAAATTTGAAGAGTTTCCTTCTTAGCACATTAACGGCTAGCTGGTTCTGGTATTTATACCTCTCGGTGCTGATTTCTCAAGACACTTTTGTAGAAGCTTGTTAGCGGTAGAGGGCTTGAGCTTGGCGATTACAAAAGGGAGTCTTTGACACACACAGGGGTAGAGGATCTGGGTGTGTCAAGGCTTGTCAGATCAAGCTTGATCTGGATTAGCTGTTCTGCAATTTATTTGTGTGTTCTTATTCTTTCTTTTCTTCTGCAAAAACTAAATTATAATAAAGGTCTCCCAGACCATATTCTGGGACGTGGAAGTAGACCATTGCACTTGGGCGAACCACGTTAAAAAGATCGTGTGTCATTCTTTGTTCAGTCTTTCACTTGCAATTCTGATTTCTTCTCTCGATCTTTTGTTCTTCCCCTGTTTTACACTGCTGAGCATTGGTGCTCTGTTCTGTTACAAAGAAGAAGCTGTCTCTGGTTTTCAAGTTTAACCGAGACTGGGCTTCGGCCTGTCTATTAAGTTTTCCTAGTGGTGGTGTAAAACTGAGATTAGAGTGTGGGCTTAGAATACTTGGGCCCAGATATAAATACAGGAAACGAGAAGTGTCTGAAGACACTTCGTGTTCATCGTCTCCATCTCTGTCTGTTCCCATTCTTGATTTCTCTAAACCCTAAAACTTCTTCTTCCCTGTCTCGATTTCAATTGGTATCAGAGCCTGGTTCTTGACGAAGCTAACTAATGCCAAGGTTTACGATCCAATGGCGTCTAGTTCCTTCGGTCATGCAGCCCTAAATCATCCCCCAATCTTCACTGGATCGAATTACACAGCGTGGAAGAAACGGATGAAACAATTCATGTGGGGGATCGATGAACAACTCTGGCTAGTCGTGCAAAACGGACCTGTAGAAATGAAGGATGAAGAAAAATCGATATGGTCAGTGGAACAGAAGAAGAGTGCTCAATTGAATCAGAGGGCTATGCATGTCTTGCAATCCGCCATGAATCCCGATGAAGCTGATCAAGTGGAGAACTGTGCAACAGCCTGGGAGATCTGGACAACACTCGAAAGCACATATGAAGGTACATCTAATATTAAAGAATCTCGCATAGACCTTCTTGTTCATGACTACGAAGCTTTCAGTATGAGCAAAGCTGAAGGTATTCATGAGATGTACTCTAGGTTTACTATTCTTATAAACAAGTTGAAAGGGTTGGGAAAAACCTTTCAGACAAAGGATCTGAACAGAAAAATACTTAGATCCTTGCCTAGAGAATGGCTTCCTAAAAGAACTGCCATTGAAGAAGCTAAGAATCTAAGTACCCTACCTATTAGTGAATTAATAGGTTCTTTGTTAAGCCATGAACATGTTTTAAAGCAGGTTAGTCAGGAGGATGAAAAACGTAGCAAAAACCTAGCATTTAAATCAAAAGTTACAGACTATGAACAAGACAGTGATCTGGAAAATTACTTTGAAAAGGAATTTGCCCTTGTTAGCAAACGATTTCATAGAATGCTAAAGTTTAAAAACGACCAAAAACTGCGTTTAGATGATTCAAAATATGGAAATACTAAAAATCATTTTCAAAGTAGGCTGCTACCACAGCAGACCAGAAAGTTTGAATCAGGTCAACAGGAAAGGGAGTCTCAGGCATGCTACAAGTGTGGAAAATTTGGTCACATAAGAGCACACTGCCCTCAAACCATAAAGGCCAAAGAGAAAGCTATGAAGGCCTCCTGGAGTGATTATGACACTGACCAAGAAGAACAAGAGTTAGAAAATGAAGCTTTTATGGCCAGAACAATCCTCATAGAAGAAGAAAAAGAATCTGCTGTGGTGAGTGATGATCACAAATGGTATCTCGACAGTGGGTGTTCCCACCATATGTCTGGTAAGAAGCTTCTATTCTCTTCTTTGACCCTGATGAATGGAGGTAAAGTGTGGTTTGGGGATAATGGATGTGGAAAAGTTTTTGGATCTGGAACTATAGGAAGAAAACCTCTTCCCTCTTTTAAGAATGTTTTACTAGTTGAAGGACTAAAACATAACCTATTGTCAATAAGTCAACTTTGCAGTAATGGATATCATGTTATGTTTGAAACAGATAGGTGCATTGTTAAGAGAAATAAAGATGAAAAAGTTATGTTTGTTGGGAAAAGGTTAAACAACATGTATGTTATTGATCTAAGTAATCTTGGTGCCTTTAATGAACTGTGCTTTGTTTCTTCATTTCAACAAGAATTTACATGGCATAGGAAGATGGGTCATGTGAGTCTTCAAAAACTTGTTGATCTGACTAAGTCTGGTTCAGTTAGGGGAGTACCAAATTTAAAGGTCAAAACTGACTTTTTCTGTGAAGCATGTGTGAGTGGTAAGCAGTGTAGGAAATCCTTCAAATCCAAAACTGATATCACTTCACACGAAATGTTTGAATTAATTCACATGGATTTATTTGGTCCATGTAATGTTACTAGCCTTGGTGGTAAAAACTATGTGTTGGTTATGGTTGATGATTACTCTAGATACACTTGGGTGTACTTCCTTATTCACAAGGATGAGGCTCTTGCTAAATTCAAATCATTTGTCATGTTGTTTTTAAAAAGGATAAAAACCATTAAAAGTGATAATGGAGGAGAATTTGTGTCTGAAGAATTTGAAATTTTCTGTAATGAGTCAGGTATCTCTCATACCTTTTCTGCTCCAAGAACTCCACAACAGAATGGTGTTGTGGAAAGAAAAAATAGGACTCTTATTGAATGTGCTCGCACTATGCTTCTTGATTACAATCTTCCTAAATTCTTTTGGGCTGAAGCTGTGAGTACGGCATGTTATGTTACAAATCGAGTTTTGATTAGAAAAGGTATTAACAAAACTCCCTATGAAATTTTTAAGAACAAAACTCCCAACCTTGCTTATTTTCATCCTTTTGGATGTTCTTGTCATGTTTTAAATACTAAAGACAGGCTAGGTAAATTTGATGCTAAATCTGACAAAGCCATCTTTCTAGGCTACTCAATAAAAGGACAAGCCTATCGTATTTATAACAAACGTACTCATAAAGTGGAAGAATCTGTTCATGTTATATTTAATGAGTCTAACACTGGAAGTGAGGAATCTGAGCAGGATTTGCAGGAATATGATCTCTTGGAGATGATAAGAACTAGTTCAGAACCTACTGAAGAGATCATCCTAGAAGAAAGAACCAAAACTGATGAAGATCCCAGCCTGGTAGATGTTCCTGCCGAGGAGGATCCCTCTGCTGCAACTACTAAAGCACCTCCCCACATTCAGAGGCGTCATCCATCAGACCAGATCATAGGTAACCTGAATGATGGTCTTCGAACTAGAGGTAAGTATGTTCCTGGACAATATGCTTATGTTTCTCAGTTTGAACCAAAGAACTATAAAGAGGCTATTAAAGATGATGAATGGTTCTTTGCTATGGTTGATGAATTAACACAATTTAAATCTCTTCATTTCTGGGATCTTGTGCCTAGACCTGTGAACCAATCAGTGATTGGAACTAAGTGGGTATTTAGGAACAAATCTGATGAAAAAGGTACTATAATCCGTAATAAAGCCAGATTAGTGGCACAAGGTTATTCACAGGAGGAAGGAGTAGATTGTGATGAAACTTTTGCCCCTGTTGCTAGGCTAGAATCAATTAGATTGCTTTGTGCTTATGCTTGCTACATGGGGTTTCCTCTTTATCAAATGGACGTTAAAAGTGCTTTCTTAAATGGTGATATCAATGAGGAAGTTTATGTTTCACAACCTCCTGGTTTTGAAGATCATCAATACCCTAATCATGTTTATAAACTTAGAAAAGCTCTATATGGTCTAAAACAAGCTCCAAGAGCTTGGTATGATAGACTTACCTCTTTTCTGCTTCAACATGGTTTTACTCAGGGTTCAGTTGATAAGACCTTGTTTATTAAACACAAATCAGATGATATGCTCATAGTTCAAATTTATGTAGATGATATTGTCTTTGGGGCTACCTGCAAAGATATGTGTTCTGAGTTCTGCAACTCTATGAAATAAGACTTTGAGATGAGTATGATGGGGGAACTTCAATTTTTCCTCGGACTCCAAATCAAACAAACAAAGTCTGGCACTTTCATAAGTCAGACAAAATACATATCCTCAATGCTAAGTAAATTTGACATGTTAAATCTTAACACCAGTCCCACGCCTATGGCAGTGAATCTAAAACTTGATAAAGATGAGACTGGAGTACCAGTTGATGAATCAAAGTTTAGAGGAATGATTGGTTCTTTGCTATATTTAACTGCAAGTCGTCCTGATATTCAACATAGTGTCTGTTTGTGTGCTCGTTTCCAATAAGCTCCTAAAGAAAGTCACATGTCTGCGGTCAAACGCATCTTTAGATACCTTAAGGGAACCATGGACATTGGTCTGTGGTATCCCAAACATGATCAATTTGATCTTGTTGGGTACAGTGACTCAAATTTTGCTGGTAGTTTAACTGATAGGAGAAGCACCTCAGGTAGTTGTCAGTTTGTAGGAACTTCTTTAGTCTCCTGGTCTTGCAAAAAACAAGGGGCAGTTGCCCTCTCCACAGCTGAGGCAGAGTACATAGCTGCTGGAAGCACTTGTACTCAGCTCTTGTGGTTAAAAAGCCAACTTCAAGACTATGGAATTACTATGACCAGCATACCTTTACTTTGTGACAATACAAGTGCTATTTGTATGTCCAAAAATCCTGTGCAACATTCAAGAACTAAACATATTGAAATCAAGTACCATTTTATCCATGATCTTGTCAGTGCTGGAATTGTCAATCTCCAGTACATTAATACATAATTCCAACTGGCA